TTCGAGATCAGCCTGGCCTGCAGACTGAGTTCCAGGACAGCGGGGGCTCTCAAAGAAACTCTGTCTGGGGGTAGGGAGCAGGAAGAGTCGTCTTTGCCATACATTCAGCTCAAGGCTATCTTAAGCTATATGACATCCTATCTCAAAACACACAAATAAGCCTGGGGCATTTAATCCCAGAATTTGGGGAGAGAGGCAGACAAATCTCTGTGAATTCAAGGCCAGCTTAATGTACATAGTAAGTTCCAGAACAGCCAGGGCTACGTAGAGACGAACAAATAAACAAAAAAGATCTCAGATGACCTTCATGTCTTTCTTCAGGGTCCCCTTCATCAGCAAGTCTGAAACACATTATTCCAATTGTAGAGAAAGCATGCCCTCTAGTGGTCTCACAGTGACATTTCTTTCCTGCCATAGCATAGTGTCAGAATGAACAAGAATTTTTTTAAAATACTGAAGGGGGATAGGGCAGGAGGGGAGGGAGAGGGAACTGGGATTGACATGTAAAACAGGCTTGTTTTTAATTTAAATTTAAAAAAGGAAAAAATAATGAAAAGCAAACAAAAACATCAGTAGTAGCCCTTTTTATGCCAATTCTTAGAATGTGATATTATTAGATTGATGGAACAAAGCATGAGCTCACAACAGACAATCATTTTACTTCTGACTCAAATGAAAATATTACAAGCACACTAGACATTTTTAGAATATGTGCTGTCCTCATATCTTGTATATTTCAAAAGTAAACTAGGAATGGACAGAGGAATGAAGGAGAGAGAAAGGGAGGAGGGAGGGAGGGAGGGACCACAGCCTTAAATATGTTCCAGTCTTCAAGAACCAAAAAGTAGGGTGTGATGGCACAAGCTTTATCCCAGGTTTTAATCCTTGAACTCTGAGTTTGAAGCTACCCTGGTCTACACAATGAGTTCCAGGAGAGCCGCCGCCATTTACAGAGACCCTCTCTCAAAACACAAAATAAAACAAAATAAGTAAATAAACTTCACCCTCCTCTCTAACCTAGGGCTGGGGGCATGGCTCGGTGGGTAAGAGCACTGGCTGCACCAACATCCACAGAGGAGAGTCAGACAGACACTCACCTATGACCAGCATGGAAGAAATGGAAACTGAAGGGAGTCTGGGACTTGTTGCCCATCAGTCTCACTGAAGAACAAGCGAACGGCAAAGCCCCATTTTCACTGACTGAGCCTGTCTCAAGGGGAGAGATGCATGTGGTAGATCAGGGCACCCCAAATCTTCCTCTGACCTCTATGTTCTCTCTCTCTCCCCCTCTCTCCCACACACACACACACACACACACACACACACACACACACACACACACACACACGGCCCCCAGACCTTGGTAGATCCCCAGGCCTTAGCACAACTGACTTCATGACGGAGGTATCATTCAGACTGTAAAACTCGGCATGCAGACAGCACCACCTGCCAAAAACTAAAATAAAGTCTTGAGCCATTGAAGTCCACAGTTCTGGCAAAGCCTTTTGGCTTCTGGAGTTCTGTTTCTGGCTAACTGTTCTTGTTAACTGAAATATGTCAACCAGGATGCGGGTTTTGTACTTAAAAGTTCGAGACTGGGATTCTGAACACCCAGTGTAGTCACCAACTGACTAATAAAGACTTTCTATTGGCTGGAATCCATGTCTGAGCCGTCTTCTCTGGTGGACAGCCCACAACCACACACAGAGGTGTACATCACACAGCAAGGAGAATATTATTTAAGCTTTAAAGGTGCTGGGAAGATGGCCCAACAGTCACAGTGCTTACTTCTTTCACAGAGGGCCTGAATCAGTCCCATGTCACACAGCTCCCAGGCACTGTAACAATTCCAAGAGAACTGACACTTTCTTCTGACCTCCACAGACATGTGCACACAATAGTAATAATAAATCTCTAAATAAAGTTATAAAGAATATATATTATATATAAATTTCTGGTAGATAGGTAATCTTTCTGAGATATTTACACAGAAGAAAGACTCCTGGATTATATAGTATTTATTCTTTTAGTTTGTTTTTGTTTTGTTTTGGTTTTTTTGGTTTTTCAAGGCAGGGTTTCTCTGCATTGCTTTGGAGCCTGTCCTGGAACTAGCTCTGTAGACGAGGCTGGCCTCAGAATGTCTGCCTCCCGAGTGCTGGGACTAAAGGCATGCGCCACCAACACCCGGCTTATTTTTAGTTTTTTAAGATCCATTTGATTTTATGCGTTATGTGTATGTATGTGCACTGTGTGTGTGTAGATGCCTGCAGAGGTCTGAAGAGGGCATCAAATCTCTTGGAATTCATCCAGATTCCCTGCAAGAACAGCAAATGGTCTTAACCCCTGAGCCATCTCTCCAGCCTGTTTTTAATTTGTTGAAGAGCTGCATACTGATGTCAGTGATGGCTGGGACATTTGCTTTCTCACCAACAATATGAAAAGTGTCCCTTTTCTGCACTCTTCACCAACATTTGCTTTATTTACTCTCTCTGTGTCTATGTGTGTGAACACAAGAGCCACAGCACAGGAATGGAGGTCACAGGACTAGGTTCTCTCCTTCCCTCATGTAGGTTTCAGGGATCAAACTCAAGTATTCAGGCCTGGGGGCAAGCACCTTTATTTACTGAGCCCAACAGTTGCTTCTTTTATTATTATTATTGTTATTTACATTCCAATCCCAGTTCCCCCTCCCTCCCGCTCCCTTCACTCCCCTCTCCTCTCATCTGCTCCTCGGAGAGGGTAAGGCCTCCCCTAGGAAGTCTAAGTCTGTCCCACCATCTTGTTGAGGCAGGACTAAGGTACTTCTCCACCCCCACCACACCCCTGTGTCTAGGCTGGGCATGGTATCTCTCCATATCGAATGGGCTCCACTAAGTCAGTTTACGCTTTAATGTTAGATCTTGAACCCACTCATACATTGTCCCAGTCACACCATTGTCACCTATATTAAGGGAGTCTAGTTTGGTCTTATGCAGGTTCCCCATAACACTTGCTTATTTATTTATTTACTCTGTGTGTGTGTGTGTCTTAGTTGGAGTTTCTACTGCTGTGACAAAACACCATGACCAAAAAGCAAGTTGGAGAGGAAAGAGTTTATTTGGCTTACACTTTCATATCACTGTTCATCATCAAAGGAAGTCAGGACAGGAACTCATATAGGGCTGGAACTCAGAGGCAGAAGCTGATGCAAAGGGGTGCTGCTTACTGACTTGCACAGCTTGTGTCAAGTTGACCAAAATTAAAAAAAAATAAAAAATAAAATAAAAAAAAAAAAACAGCCAGCAGTGTCCATGGCACACATGTGATGAAGACAACTTACAGGACCAAAAGTCAGGTAATCAGGCCGGATGGCAAGCACTCGCCTGCTGAGCCATCTCACTGGCCTTTTTGACTTTTTGATACTAGTCATGCTTCATTTCCATACTATAAAATTTTCTTCTCCTTTTCACAGTGCACCATCACCTGAGCTGCTCTTGTGTCTGTGCACTTTACCCAAAGTGCCATTGCTGCACGGGTCACCAAGGCCCTTTCTGTAAGTTCTGAAGGGGGTGAGGGAGAGCTGAATGATAAATGTCTGCCACAGCCCTGTTTCTTAAGACTGACAAGTGCATGTGCCCTCTTACTACTGATGGCCCTTTTGTCCTGGGCCAGTTAAGTTAAAAAGGCAAACGAGGCTGGGACTGTAAGCGGTGAGGCACTTGCCCAGCATGCACAAAGGCCTGGGTTTAACTCCTACCATTGGTAGAGAGAGACAGGACATAAACCAAAAGATGAAAAACAACCTTTTTTTCATATCTTTAATCACCATTATTGCACCAACACAGCATACGCTTTATATACATATATCTTCATTTTCAATTTTCAGCAATTCAAATACATAATATATTATCATCTTAAGAATACAAAGAACACAAAATGGAGGAAGATTGAGAAAATAGGTTTCCCAATAGTTAGTCATTATATTGTCTATATTTTCCTCTTAGTGTTTTATTGGAACCTTAAACATCCTGCCATGGCTCTGCAAGAAAAGAGCTGCCTGGAAAGGGGAGGTAATAGGGTGGGAGGGAATGGACCCAAAGTCTGGAAAAGCTAAGAAAATTATCCAAGAGAAATAATGTATTTGAAATTAAATATAAGGACCCTCTTCAGGCAGAACATACATATTCAAACAGGTGCTCACAGAAGAATGTAAATCCTCCCAACCCCTCCTCAAATTGCCCAACAAACAAAGTGGATAGTACCCAGACCTGAACAGGGCTCTCTTCACAGCATTGTAAAAGGAATGGTGGGCAGAGGGAGGGAAAAGTGATGGGACTGTAACTCGCTTTAAGATATCCTAGCTGGGTATCAAAGCCTGGGGCAAAGGCTGTCACAGGTACAGCTGTGGTTTAGCCTCCTTCACACTGACAATTATATAATAGCAGCTTTCTGTGGAACAGCTAAATAGACTACACGAAATGTTTATGAAAAGGGATCCAAACCAGGCAGCAAGGCATGTGGGTACTGCATAAGAGCTAAGTGCTTCTACTGCTCTGCTCTGTACATCAAGTTAGACTCTTACGTTCGGGTCAAACACACGGTGAGTAAAGTTAACGCTATACATGATATGCAGCAAAAACAATTCTGTAGATTACAACTTGGGAAAGCTCAGCCGCATGATCCTCCTTCATCTCAGAAATATCCACTGTCAAAGATGCTGCACTATTCAACAAGTAGAAAACAGTGAGGTGCCACCAACACAACCTTTTACCAAAGGAGAAGACATGTAAACACTCAAGGTGATGGTGCTGGGGCTCACTGGATGCTCACTGAATGGGAGAAGCCAGAAGGAGGCCTTACAGGAGAGCCCTGGGATTCATACGGCTCTTTCTGCAAACCTACCCCCATGAAAATCCTAACTCTGTAAGTACTGAGACCAGCCTGCCCATTTTTAGTCTCCAGAAGGCATTTGTCTCCAGAAATTGATAACTGGGGCATCACAAAGAGATACACAGGAGTCATGAGATGATTCTGAAATAAATTCAAGAATTTACAAATGTTTGAGGTCACTCACACTCTCAAAGTTGGCCTTCTGAACTCTGCACAGTCGGCCAGTGTGATAGTTTCCCGCTACTCCCCTGCCTTGGTTGTGAGCAGGAAACAACAGGTGGTCTCCTGGCATACAGCAAGTAACAGAGGTAACAAAATAATCCAGCCTGAAAGCAACAGAGAAGCTACGGAAAAGATTGTCCACTGATTTTGGTTCTGGGAAATGAAGCGGTCCCTCAACTCCCTCACAGAATGGTGCCCTCAGGGTCATTTTTATTCTTCAAGTGTGTCCTTAACATCATGCCAATGACACTCAAAACTGGACCCAGTTGGATGGCTGTGGTGCCTGGTTCGGAACAGAGCTGCAAGACAGGGGAAGAGACAGAAAGCCAAGGCGGCACATGAGTATAAGAGTCCAGTCAGCCTCTCCCGGCAGCTTCCCCCCACCACCACCACTCCCACCCAGCATTTCTTCCTGGACTCACACTGAAACCCACAAGGTGGCAGCTGCTTCCCTGACTACACACATCCTCTACAACAGTGATTCTAACCTGTGGGTCACAACCCCTATGAGAGCTAAATAACCCTTTCACAGGAATGACATATCAGATATTTGCATATGCTTCATAAGAGCAGCAACATTACAGCTATAAAGTAGTAAAACAACCTTATTAAAGGGTCAGCGTTGGGAAGGGGGAGAACCACTGGCCACACCCTAAGGGACAGGCTGTTGGGTGCACTGTGCCCATTACCTGGATGCAGTGCTAAAGTCTCCCCACAAGTCACTGCTTGTAGAAACTGGAGCTGGTGCTGAAGTCGTGACAGGAGCAGGGGAATCCAGATCTAAAAGGATATCTGAACAATTGGGGGAGGGGGTGTTAATTATACGTCCACAGGGAAACCTACGTCACAGCACTCAAAACTGGAGACAGTTCAGATGCCCGTAGGTAATGGTTAAAACACTGCAGTAAATATGTACACTTGCCAACAAAAGGGAAAAAATTCCACATCGGAAAAAGCCAATCCATTGACCTAACACTCCTAAAGAAATAACTTGATATGAACACAAAGCAGATGAGAGATTGCCAAGGGTCAGGGATGGGAGAACGAAGGCTCGGAGGGGTGTGGCCATAAAGGGTGACACCAAAGATTCTTACAACAAGGCTGGAGAGATGGCTCAATGATTAAAGCACGCACGCACGCACTCTCTCTCTCTCTCTCTCTCTTAAGAGCTGCTCTTGCAGCTGGGCGTTGGTGGCACATGCCTTTAATCCCAGCACTTGGAAGGCAGAGGCAGGCAGATCTCTTTGAGTTTGAGGCCAGCCTGGTCTGCAGATCTAGTTCCAGGACAAGCTCCAAAGCTACACAGAGAAACCCTGTCTCAAAAAACCCAAAGGGGGGAAAAAAAATAGCTGCTCTTCCAGTGGACCCAAGTTCTGTTCTCAGCCCCTAAGTCTGTGGCTCACAACCATCTCTAACTCCAGCTCCAGGGGCTTGATGCCTTTGGCCCTGAGGCACCTGCACTCACATTAAATATAATAAATCTTAGCCAGATGTTGGTGGTGCAGATTTAATCCCAGAACTTGGAAGGCTGCAGGAGGATCTCTGAGTTGGAAGCCAGCATGGTCTAAGGGAGTAAGTTCTAGAACTACACAGAGGACTCTGTGTTTAAAAAAAAAAAAAAAAAAAAAAAACACCACAATAATAAATGTTTGAAAAGACAGAAAGTGATGCAGACTTGTTCTGCAGCCTCATGCCTCACTGTCACAGTGGATCCACACAAAACCAAAGCCACCTACCTATGCACTCATGTACACAGATGAGAAACTTGATTAAGATTAGAAGACAACGTCAACATCAATGGCAATTAAAAAAGTTTTGTACAACGTTATCAGTGAGGAATACTGAACAAAGAAGACACCAGAGTTTTTCAGTGTTTTTCTTTTTCTTTTTTTAATTTGAGGCAAAGTCCCAATAGTTCAGGCTGGCCAGGAAATTACATCATTTCGGGTGACACTAAACTGCTTCTACCTCCAAAGTGCTGGGATGTGAGGTGTGTACCACCACACCTGCTTCCCTTCATTAGTTCTTATGACTGTGCATGAATCGCGATAATTTTCAAAATAAAGTTTAATTTAAAAAAAAATCAATCTTCAACTGTATGGTCACAAGGTTTTAAGACATTGCATTTATATTCCCTCCTTTGATGAAATAGAACTAAGGTGACCCCAGAACACAGGAGGCAGAGGCAGGAGGATCTCTGTGAGTTCAAGACCAGCCTGTTCTACTGAGCAAGTTCCAGGACAGCCAGGCTTAAACAGAGAAACCCTGGGGAAAAAAAAAAAAAAAAAAAAAAACCTACCAAACTCTAACACCTGGTTTTCTAATATTAAATGGGTAAAATGCCTGGTTCTCTAATATTGTGTGTGTGTGTGTGTGTGTGTGTGTATGAATATACACATAAAACATGCACACGCCAGCCTTGGTTACACAGTAACATCCCCTCAAATAAAAAAGAAAAAGAAAGGGATTCCTTTGACTGCTAACAGTCTCACTTTTGAATGAGGAAAATACAACCACACCTGTTTTTTACGGCTGGCCAGTAAGGACAAGCACAAACATTTGTCTGGTGGGTTTCTCTTTAAGCAGAGGCCCGCAGCTCACAACGGACCATGCAGGCTCTGACTTTAGATCCTCTGGCTTCCCCAAGGACTGCCCTGCATGTATGGCTGCCACCTCGCTGAAGATGACAAACGTGAACAGACGAGATGTGGTCTCTTCATGGAACAGCTACTGTGCTCCAGGAGCTGGGCTAGGCACTGTACAGCATTCACCTCACGCCTGGGCAGTTTTTCTCCTCCACTTTGCACACAAGCACACTGAGACTCAAAACCTTAAGTAAGCCTGTGGTGGCACACTCCTAACCCCAGCACTTGGAGCCAAGCAGCTCAGGGATGCAAGGTCATCTTCAGCTACACAGCACATTCAAGGCACCTGGGCTACATCAGACCCTGTCTCAAAAAATAAAATTAATTGACAGTAAATAAGTAACTTTTTAGAGAACTTGAGTGATGTTTACTAAGCACATCCAGACATGAGTAGGAAAGCCACATTCAAAACCATGTCATACTTCTGACCTACAAGCCTTTTAGCCTCTAACCAACAAACAATGAAGGGCAGAGGCCTTCTTTTGCCCATTATTGTATTAGTTTTAATTATGTGTATGTGTGACTGTATGTGGGTCTGCACACGTGAGTACCTGTACCCTCAGAGCCCTCAGATGCCCTGTAGCTGCCTGACCCCGTGGGTGCTGGGAAGCACACTCACAACCCTATCTGTAGGAGCAGCACTTACACTTTAACCATCTCTTCTCCAACCTTTTAAATAACCATGTTGTTTTTGTCAAAGTACCTACTAGACACCACTTCACCAGACAAAACTGGCCCCTTGCCAAAATCACCATGATGGTTCCAAAGCAACTTCCTAGCAAAAACTTCTTGGCAAATGGCTATTATCCATTTAATCCATAATTCAGTTATTTTCAAAGTTAAGTATGAGATTTACCTGCATCATTGCCTCCATGGTTAGATTTTGGAATAGGCGGTGGGGTGACGTGGTTGCTGATGGCAACTGAGGACGGTGGGGGAATAGTGACTTTGCCTCCAGGTGGAGGTGGTAGTAAGCTCAGGCCCCCAGTCCCTGTGGCCCGGGGCTTAGAAGTACCTCCTTTCTTGGTTGTAATGTTCTGTGAGAGAGAGAGAGATCACTAACCTAAAGAACAATGTTTTTAAAAAAACTGATCTCAGCCGACATACACCCTTAATCCCAGCATCCAGGAAGCAGAAGCAGCCAGATATGTGAATTCAAGGTTAGCCTGATCTATATAGCAAGTTCCAGGCCAACCAGGGCTATATATAGTGACACCTTGTCTCCCAAAAGAAACAGAGGCTGGAGAGATGGCTCAGCAGTAAATAGCACTGGCTGCTATTTCAGAGGACACAGGTTTGAATCCCAGCACCACCTACAGCCGCTAACAGCCATCTGAAACTCCAGTCCAGAGGATTCAACACCCTCTTCTGGCCTCCACAGACACTGCATGCCTATGGTGCATAAACATATATGCAGGAAAACACCCATACACATAAAATAAAATAAACAGAAATCACACTTACCCCAATACTCAACTTGATGGTCTGTCCTTCCTTGAAGCCTAAATCCAACTTGGGGCGATTATCTGTTTCCTGAGATTCTTTGGAAATCTCAGTTTCCTGCTTCACCCACCTTTGGGGAAATAATTTATCTCAATTTAGAATTCCCTAAAGAAGCAGGATCTTAAACAAATCTGGCTAAATCTCACTCAGACGAACTGAACTTCCAGAAAGATATGAGAGGAAAAGGAAAAGAATATGCCAGAGAGGCCAGCTGGGTTCAGACTGGGGAGCAACAGGGAATGCATGTATACACCCCTCCCAACAGTCCTCAGCCCTCGGCAGAGTACTGCCCCAAAGGAGACGTGCCAGTTACCATGTTCTTAGAGTTGCCATCTCTGGGCTTTAAGTTTCAGGGTTCTGAGAATAAAGAGAGAGAGCTACACTGTCCTAGAGACAGGAAGAGATATGGTGCCAGGTGCTGCTCACTACAGCTGCTCACTCAGTCTGGCTGAAGAAAATACATAGGCACAGAACACGCCAGCAGCATACCTGGCACACAGCTGTCCATGGACAGGTTGGCTGCTGCCGTGTGCCACCCTCCAGCACCTTTTTAATAGAAACGTCAATTCCCCACGTCACAAACAAGCATGAACCCAAACCACCACACAAGGACTAAAATACATTACAGGCTGTACGGATAGACAAGAGCAGGTACAAAGATAAGGAAAAAGTAAAGGACAGACTACTGAATAAACCACATGGAGAGAGAAAGTAGAAGCACCCCCAACCCCTACCTATTAGCCCTGAAATCTAAACAAAAGCTTCACTCACTTGAAGTGATCTTGCAAGGAAACGTTAAAGTCAAAGGCGTCCCCCCGATCGGTGAAGCCAATGCCAATGAATGCACTACGCCCTGTGAAAAGGAGGAATCTCAGAAAACGTGTTCCTTATGACAACTTCTGCCTAACAGAGACAAACATGTCACACAAATTGCATAAAATCTGCTTAGTATTTTCTCACAGACCGGCAGTCAGCAGATAACATGCAACTGAATGAACCAACTCTTCCCACAGCCTGAGTCTGACAATGAAGTTCTACTGAAACACAGGCACATCGACTTGGACAGATGTGTCTGTGGCCACTTGACCCTGCAACCACCAAACTGGGAGCAGTTACAACTTGGCCCAAAAAAAGCCAAAAATATTTATTGTCTGGTTACCGACCTATTAAATAATATGAGGAGGCTGGGCATGGTAGTGCATAAGCCCAGCAAAGGCGGGCCAATCTCTGAATTCAAGACCAGCCTGACGTACTGCAAGCTCCAGGCCAGCCAGGATTACAACAGTAAGGCTCGAAACAAAAACCAAAAATTGCAGAAATGGCTGAGAACTACAGCCCTCAAAAATGGATGATCCGAGACAACGCCATCAAAAGCCACGCAGCAACTATAACAGGGTCTCTTCCCTTAAATAAGCATTTTGACTAATTGAACTTAAACTCAATTGAGCTTATGCTCCTGTCTACAAAATGTTAACCCCTTCCCTTCGATAGCCATAGTAAGTTTGCAAGCAAGGGAAGCAAAGTTGTCAAAAGGAAGAGAACTGTAACGGACAGTTTTATCCGAGCTCATTCGCTATTTCCTGACCGCACCCCACCAGGGACCCCAACTCCCTCACCGGTACCATCCTGGATCCTGATCACAAAGTAGCGGCTGGAGTCTGCCACCGTCTCCACAGCAATGCCAGGGTACTGCTCTACTGGTGCCTGAGCAAAGAGCTCCCCTAACAGCAAGAAAGAGACCTCCTTGAGCAGAAGAAAAGCTAACTCCAATTAACAGGTATTTGTCCATGCCAGCTCTCGATTTGAGGGGACTGGCGAGTACACCAACCCCGCCTCCCCCACCACCCCGTTTGAGAGGGCCCCTGAACCTACCTGAAACTTTATCTTCAAGTTTGATGTAGGCGATCTTCCCTTTTGAAGTGATTCGGAGGCGGCCAGTCCAATCAGGCTGGTCTAACTTCCAGTCAGATGCCCTGTGAAAACAGCAAGCCTGAAGCCTCAGGTAATACAAGGCTGGTCTTGAACTCAGAGATCTGCCTGCCTCTGCCTCTGCCTCTGCCTCCCGAGTGCTAGGACTTCACTGGCCATATCTGTTTTCCTGGGCTAAAGGGCCTTTTCTTTCTGCCTACTAAATAATCATGAGAAATTACTCAAGTTCCCCTTAAACTAGGGCCTCATTTCTAATGTATAATGCAGACGTGGTGGGGTAGGCCTACAGTCCCAGCACCAGGGAGGTAGAGACAGGTGTATTTCTGTAAGTTCTACAAATCAAATTCCAGGGCAGCCAGGGCTGTTACACAGAGAAACCCTGTGATAGTCTGAATAAAACTGGCCTCCATAATCTCATAGGGAGCAACACTATTAGGAAATGTGGGGTCTAGAGAGATGGCTCAGAGGTTAAGAGAACTGACTGCTCTTCCATTAGTCCTGAGTTCAATTCCCAGAAACCACATGGTGGCTGACAACCATCTATCATGAGATCTGGTGCCCTCTTCTGGCATGTGGGCATACATGCAAACAGAACACTGTATGTGCAATAAATAAATAAATCTTTTTAAAAAAGGAAATGTGGCTTTGTTGGAGTGGGTATGGCCTTGTTGGAGGAAGTGTGTCACTGTGGGGACAGGTTTTGAGGTTTCCTTTGGTCAGGATACTGCCCAGTGTCTCTGTGTCTGACTGTCCTTCTCTCTCTCTCTCTCTCTCTCTCTCTCTCTCTCTCTCTCTCTCTCTCTCTCTCTCCCTCCCTCCCTCCCTCTCTCCCTTTCTCAGCTACCTCTCCAGCATCATATCTACCTGCACGCTGCCATGCCCTCCACCATGATGAAAATGGACTGACTCTCTGAAACCATAATCGAGTTGTATCTCTTCACAGCAATGAAAACCCTAACTAAGGCAGGAGTTGGTACCAGGGACTTCTGTGATTGGCCTAATCATGTTTTTGTGTGGGGAAATTTGTACTTTGTCACTTTGGGTTTGGAAAGCAGTAAAATGCTTTAAGCACTTCTTAGTGGGCCATGCCAGTAGGAACATGGAAGACAGAGGTGTTAAGAGTTATTTGAGGGCTGGAGAAATGGCTCAGCAGTTAAGAGCGCTGGCTGCTCTTCCAGAGGTCCTGAGTTCAATTCCCTGCAACCACATGGTGGCTCACAACCATCTGTAATGAGATCTGGTGCCCTCTTCTGGCCTGCAGGGGTACATGCAGACAGAATAGTACACATAAATAAAGCCTTTAAAAAAAGAAAAAGTTATTTGAACTGACTCAAGAAGTTTCAGAGGAGGAGACTCTTAGTATGTTGCCTAGAAATAGTTCTCGAGATATTTTGGTGAAGGAAAGTGGCTGCCTTTTGCCCTTGTCTGAAGATAATACCTGAGGATAAAGTGAAGAGATTTGGATTAATTCTGTTAACAAAGGAAATCTCAAAACATTCTCTGCAGTGTGGTCACTAGTGTTCATGCTTATAAAGACTGATAATGAAAAGGAGCACGCTGAGCAGGGTAAATAACAAAATCTAAATTCTGAGGAGAAAAAGAGCACCAGGAAGCAGAATGGGACCTGCTTCTGTTCAAGGAGATAAGTGGATTGAGAAACGGATGAAGGGAGTGGTGACCTCGGGGCAAGACTGCAGCTAAATTTCCAGAAAAATTTAGAGCCAGGTGTGGTGGGACACACCTTTAATCCCAGCACTGGAAAGGCAGAGGCTTGGGGATCTCTGAGTTTAAGGCCAGTGTGGTCTACAGAGGAAGTTTGGGGACAGCCAGCTTAGGCAGTGAAGGACAGAAAGCTGGTGAGGACGAAATTGAATGAGGAGACTATGTTCCAGCTCTAGCAAGCAGCAGAATTTGGCAGCTTTAGCCACGTCTAAGGATAAAAGAACAAGCCTCCATGCTTAAGGAAAGTCACTGAGGCCAGGAATGTGTCAGCGGTGTCCCTGAATGGAGGCCTCATAGTAGAGAGGCCATTACATGAAGCTGTGAAGTCGAAGCCTGGGTTGCCTTGGAGACCCTAAGATGCTGGAGATGCCAGAGCTGGGGACGCCTGCGAGGAGAGATGCTCACAGGGAGTGGAACCAGCCCAGGTGAAGGAAGTGTGCTGCAGTCAACAAAGCTGAATGGAGTTGGAGACCTGAAGAGCGTTTGACATCAGACATTATAGAGTCCGGAGTTTGCCCAACTGGTTTTCAGTCTTGCTTTGGTCCAGTATTTCCTCACTATGAGGCCCTTAATTTGAGTCCCAACACCAGAAAACAATAAATAAATAAATAAATAAATAAATAAATAAATGCTAAGCTGGGATTCAAGGTTTATGCTTTCAATTCTAGCACTCAAGAAGCAGAGGCAGACAGACCTCTGTGGTTCAAGGCCACCCTATTCTACATAGTAAGCCCATCTCAAAAAAGAAAAAATACAATTTTCTCTTATGATGCTACTCTCCTACCTATAGATGACTTCTACCCAATGGTGCTTCATTACTCGGGGAACAACAAAATCCATCTGCCAAATGATGTGGCCTGAGTGACAGAAGCTTCCAAAATCACTAACCATATATCTTTCACTGATTTTAACCAGTATTTACAGGGTACTTATTAAGTGGGAGGCACCACTGTAGATGCTTGGGATATAACAGCAAACAAAACACTCTCCCCACTCAGAAAGTTCACATTCCAACAGAAGGCAAACAACAAAAAAGGAAACGTAATAAATAACAGTATCAGTATCTCGGGTTACTAGTTTAAGGTGAGAGGGAAATGCAGGGGCAGATAAAGTCTAGGAGTACAATTGGGGCACAGGTTACAGGATTTAAGAGCGTGACCAGGAAGCTGAGAGCAGAGCTCAGTGGTCAGATGCTTGTACAGCATTCACCAAGCCCTGGGTTCAATCCCCAACACCGAAACAGGAGGCAGTCAGGGTAGCCTCACCAAGAAGGTGAAACATTAGGCAAAAATTGGCCCAAAGGTTGTGGCGATAACCACCTGCTCCATAGGAAGAGTTCAGGTCTGACACTGTAAAACTGGCCAAAGCCTCCCGCTCAGGGGGACACTTAAAAAGGTAGAGCAGGTGAAGGACCTCTTCTGGGTGCCTGAGGGAAAACCCTGTAAGCACTGGGCTAGTGCAAAGGGGCTGAGGTAAGCGCACGCTTGCTGGGAGAAGGAAAGAAAGGCAGACCGTGCAGGGCCTTGTGAGCCACCGGAAGCACTGCAGCTCTCACACGGAGCGAAAAATTAGCTGCGCCAGGTATTAGAAAGACATGTGACTCAGTCCTTCTTGGATTCTAAAGGGATCACTTTGTCTGCTGTGGAAAAGAGATGTAGGATGTGATGGCTGAAGCAGGGCAATTAGTTAAGAACACTGTAATAAGTCATGAGAGGCGCTTGCATGGAAGACACAGGAGCCAAAGCCACTGGCTAGATTCTAGATGAATCTAAAGTAAAGGCAGCAGGATTCTCTGATGCTAACGTTAGGTGTAGGGGCCAGGAGAAAGAGAAGTCAAGGTAAACCCCAGACTGTTCTGCCAGGGCAAACAAGCCACAATGGCTAAAATAAGGAAGGCTAGTTGTGGACCCTGTCTGGGCAGATAGAGGTTGGATTTTTAGTATGCTTAATTTGAGACATCTAGAAGCAGACAGCTGAGTATATGAGAGCAAAGTTCAGGAAAGACATCTGCAATGAAATTACCACTGTTTATAAACCACCTGAAAACCCAAACACATGTTATCTGTGTTTATATGAACCTGATTAAAATCCAATATATTATTTATGACCAAGACTATCAAACATTGAATTTAGATATGTTTTGTTAAGAGTATAGAAAAGGGAGAAATATGTAAATAATTTCTTATGAACCCGAAGACTGCAGAGTGTGGTGTGTATTCGTCAAGTCCTTTAGGAATGAAAAGCAGGAATATTGTGACTTCAAGGGAAGACTCAGCAATACAGGGAGTGTGAGGCTTGCTTGAGCTACAAAGTTAAGGCCCTGACTCGAAACAAAACAAAAACAAAAACAAAAAATAAAAAAGACTCCAAGACTTACAGGCAAGAAAAGTAACAAGACATATCTGAACAAGAGAAAGATTAAAAAACGGTAAGCTAAAAGGAAAAATTAACAAAAAACAGAGGATTTTGTCTTTGCTGTGTTTGGGATCAAACCTAGGACCTTGAGTATGTTAGGCAAGCACTGTAGCATGCAGACAGGGGTCCCAGCAGAGCTGTGAACAGGACTGTAAAATAATCCCTGCTGTGCCCTTCCCTCTTGACAGTCTACCTTTAAAGACTCTCATTCAGATCCAGACTAGAACATTCTACATGTCCTCGTGAATTTTTTTTTTAATTACATTTGCTTGCTTGCTTATTTATTTTGGGGATGGAGGTACATACAAGTCATGAAACACCTGTGGAAGTTAGAAGACAACTTACAGGAATCTGTTCTCTCCTCCTATCATGTGGGTCCCAGGAATCAAACTCAGATAATCAGGCTTGGCAGTAATCACTTTTACCCACTGAGCTACCTAGCTTGCCCCTATTAATTTTTCCAATAAACCACTATTTATTGCAGTCAAACCACTGACAGACATAGCATAAATGGGAAATATTAGGAACAAGCCTATTGATGTATTTTTTGGTCAGGTACCTTATCTATCTTTAAATATTTAACAAATTCTCAATAAATAAATGGATACATGCCAGCAATTTCCTTCATCTTTGATCTCTAATCCCTCTCCCTCTCCAAATTCAAAATAAATGGATACATGCCAGCAATTTCATCTTTGATCCTTACTCCCTCTCCCTCTCCAAATCCAAGCCTAAAGATTCTTGGTTTTGCTGGTCTCCTAACAATACTATAAACAGGCCAGGTGTAGAGAAAAAGCGTTAAGTCCCACCAGCTGGGAAGCAAAGGCAGGCAGATCTTTGCAAGTTTGGAGCCACAGGACTACAATGAGACCCTGTGTAAAACATAAATAAACCTAATTTCAGTTTCTTTTCACCTTACCAATCAAAATGTAATTACAAAGGAGAAGGAAAGAGAGGTAATAGCCATCAAGCACCTACTACATGCCATATACATATTACATGAATACATCACACACATTCTTTTTTTTAGGGTTTTATTTACTTATTATGTATACAGTGTCCTGCATGTATGCTTGCACATCTCATTGTAGATAGTTATGAGCTGCCATGTGGGTGCTGGGAATTGAACTCAGGACCACTGGAAGAGCAGTCAATGCTCTTAACCACTGAGCCATCTCTCTAGCCCCTGTCACACACAGGTGACACCTGTCAACCAGGTGAGTGTATCTTACATGCTAAGTATCAGTATATCCATTTCAAAGTTCAAGATGTGACTTTCCACAAAATAAAAAGTTAAACTTACTTCATTGGGGGTTAAAGGTTTTTTCTTTTTCTTTTTTTTTTTTTTTTTTTTTTTTTTTTCTTCTTCTTCTTCTTTATGTGTACATGTGTACAGGTGATTGCCAAGGCCAGAAAGTATCAGATCCCCTGGAACTGGAGTTAAAGCAGTTTCCAGACTCTCACCGTATGTGCTGGTGAACCTAGGCCTTCTGCAAAGATCACAATGCTCTTAAGCATGGAGCCTTCTCTCCAGCCCTGCTTTTGTTTCTGTTTTGTAATCTAAGACAGAGCCTCCTGTAGCCAAGGATGGCCTTAAACCCCTGATCCACGTGCCTCCATCTCTCAGGTGCCGGGATTACAGATCTGTGCCACCTCTCCCAGCTTCAATTTTCATTTTTCTCTTTTCAGTCACTATTTTGTAAGAGTAAGTAATGGCAGAATGCTCCTTAGATAATTAGAAATGTCAAAATAAGCATAGGGAACAGAAAGATAAAGGGGGAAAAAAATAAGAGACTACTTTGATGGGACAATGGTGTGGCCTGATAAGAGGGTAAAAGCTGTGATGAACTAGAAAGTAAAGGAGACAGTAGCTGCAGGCAGGAGAGTGTAAAAAGGCCTGAAGTAAAAGAAAAATAGAAGGTGTCAATATATATGATATCATTTTGGCAGTCATAACCTCTAAAGGAAGTCATGAGATAGTTTAGTTAGCAGTTCAGCCACTGTTAGCTTGTTGGTTACAGAATCCAACGTCTTCTTTTTAATGTATTATCCGTGTGTGTATGATGTATGTGTGTGGGCACAGGCTTGCCACAATCTGAAATTACTTCTCTCCTTCTCCTTTTACCTGGAATGGGGGGTAGGGGGTCAAACTCCTTCAGTAAGGACTTTACCTGAGATGGCCCCAATTTCTTCTCTCAAAACCTACTATGTGCCAGACACTGTGCTGGTCCTGCTAATCCAAATGGGAAGTTTAACAGACTCGGGTTAGATAACAGGAGCAGAGATGGAGATGAGCATAACATGCTGTGAAAGTCCACACAGAGCTGGCCTAAACCAAAGTGGGTCACAGAGAGCGTCTCACAGAAGTCAGTGTGTGCCTGTGACTGGTCATAATACAGCACCTGTGACTACCAGCAAGAAGCATGCTGAGTTTAATTCCTAGTCAATGCCAGGTCTCACTGATGGATCCCTGAAGGCCAAGAGATTCAAGCATAGGGCCCATGCAGAGGTCTGCAGACACCAACTGGTGATTGATAATGAGCCCCTGCTTAGGAAACAAATGGAGAAGAACCATGACAGTGTGTCAGTCAGAAAAAAAACTAATATTTTATTATTATAATGCTTTAGTTATCCTACATTCTTTCCCATCCATTATAGTACTTAATTTTATGCTCAAAAAAAAAAAAAAAAGAGAACCCTGTGAGGGGACTGGAGAAATGGATCAGTGGTTAAGAACACTTCTCTTGCTCTGGCAAGCAGGGTTCAGTTGCAAGGACCCGTGTAGTGTCTCACAAACATCACTCTAGTTCCATCAAACCTGATGTAACCTTTTGACCTCTGTGAGCAAAAGGGATACACATACATAGATACAGGCAAAACACTCATACACATAATATAAAATAAATAAATACATCATTAAAGAAACAAAAACCTGCTGCTGGGTGGTGGTACATGACTTTAATCCCAGCACTTGGGAGGCAGAGGCAGGCAGTTCTCCAAGCTCCAGGACAGCCAGGGCTACTCAGAGAAACTGTCAGAGAAAGAGGAAGAGAAAGAGAGAGAGAGAGAGAGAGAGAGAGAGAGAGAGAGAGAGAGAGAGAGAGAGAGAGAGAGAGAGAGGAAAAAAGAAAACTCTGGGAGGTACATACAAAGTGCACAGTATACTTACATTACTTTTCCTATTTTACAAATGAGAGAACTAAGGCATGGAGAAGTTAAGAAATTAGCTTATAAATCAATTTAGTGTGCAGGGCTCAGACTCAACAGTTTTCAACACAAATCCCAGTGAATTCTCTTTGAATTCCATTAACATCCTACATCTTCAAGTCCTCAGTCACTGGAATACTGGGGTGTCGGGACTTACAAAGCTACAGGAGAGGTAGGAGACCAAGAGGTAGAAAGGCAGAAATCCCTATATAATCGAAAGCTATAAAGTGGACTCACACACACAAAATCAAAAGGAACAGCTAATCACTGGAAAACAGGATTATATCGTTTGCCCTCTGGCGCGCGCGTGCACAAACACACGCACGCGCGCACACACACAAAAAACCTAAAAGAAATCCCAAATGGTGGATGAGGATGACACTTGTCGAGAATGACAACCGTGCAGATGAAATCAGATCATCATACCATGCAAACTGTGGACAGCAACATTATGTGTGCAGGGAGTGTGCGGGGTGGAGAGGAGGGAGAGCGCGTGCTGTGTGCGTGTGCGTGTGCAGAGGCGCGCGTGGAGGACTACAAGCCAAAGGTCGCAGGGAGAGTAACAGATGGAGCAGGCATGAATGGATGCGGATGACGCGGAGCGGATGATGTGCCAACGGGGATGGGGAGGGCAGGGGGAGGGATGCATGAAGGCAGTACGAAAAGAAAACAAAATAAGAGTTCCAGAAAAACAGAAAAGTCAGGAGAGACGCTGACAGCCTGGGTGAGAAGCTAACCGGGGGGCACCGCTCGGAGGCAACGACGCGGGCCGGAGCGTGCTGCCCAAGGACACACCCGTTAACCCGGCGGGCGCGGGCCGCAGATCCCGCTCAGTACCTGTAGCCGCGGTTCGAGGCCCGCGGCGGGATCCGGTAGACGCTGACGTCAGGCTTCACACACAGCACAGACTCGTACTCCAGCTCGGTCGCCATCTTGGCTCCGCTGGCGCCGCGGGGGCGGGGCGGGGCGGGGGCGGGCGGAGGTGCCCGACGACTTCCCCTGCGTCACTTCCGCTCTGGTTTGGCTATGAACTTCACCTCTGGGCGGCGCTAGTTAACCGAGTCCCGCTAAAACCTGGAAACGCGACTGCGCGAGGCTCGCCATCTTGAGTGATGGCAAAGACAAGCTCCGTGGTAGAGCGCTTGCCTGCCAAGGCCCTGGGCTCTATTTCTAGCGAAAAATTAAAAATGAAAATTCAGTTCTTCTTTAGCCAAGACAAAAAAGTCACTGAGCATAAAGAAAACAGAACAGAGGTTGAACAAAATGAATCTCTGCTGTCTCATTCCATTCTCATACTATAAGCAACTGTCCCATGCAGTCTATTGTCCTCATTTTTTTTGTTTCTTTGTTTTTTTGTTTGGGTTTTTTGTTGTTCGTGGTTTTTTTTTTTTTTTGTTTTTTTTTTTTTTTTGCTTGTTTGTTTGTTTTGCAGTTTTGAGGATTTTATTGGTGACTCCACCATATTCAGGACGGCCTCAATTACAGTGCTAAAAAGCTATCTAGCATTCCTCAGCGTAAGAAGTGATGTGCCACATGTCATGATGGGCACTGAGTCCTGTCAACAAATGTGTTCTTTGTGCTGTAAACTTACAACCCTATAACTTAGAAATGTTTAGCTGGCACAGACTGCTAGGGGCAAAACCAAGTCTGCTCTCATTTTGTCGCAGGAAAATACCAGCAGCAGGCCTTCATCATCTCATTATATTAACAGGTTGACTTACCCTTCTGATTTGTCTTTGTCTGGGAAAGTCAATTCTTAAAATAAAGAATTAGATGTGGCTGGTAAAGTTTTGGAGATTTGCTATGTTTAAATATTGTTGCAAGAAATATAAATTGGTTCAACAGTGCTCTGAAGGGATGTTTAGCAGAACTGGTTCAAATATTAAGTGTGTGTTACCTACAGTTAACAACTGCCCTATTTTTCACTTGTTGATGTTTGATTTGTTGATGTAGTCCAGGCTGGTCTTGATCTCATTATATGGTAGAGAATGACTTTGAACTTCTAATCACCCTGCCACCAGAGTGCTGGCATTACAGACCTATGCCACCACACTCAATTCAAGATTTTATGAGAATCTTGGCAAGCATTCTATCAGACAGAAAGATGATCTATTACTTATTTCCTATTTCTCAATCTATGCTCTCAATTGAAGTCTAGGTCACGTGACTACTCCACCACATTGTACCCTTTCATTTCCTCTTTCTGTATCAACAGTGCTGACAATCGCTCATTGAGGAGCCTGTTCACCTTTTAAGTGTTTTGCATTCTCTCTATCCAAATCTGGTCATCCTAGAGACTTCCCGTTTCATATAAATCATTCTTCCTAATCTTGCACTCCTTCTTGCAATATGTAAGACATGATATACTATAACCAACAGCAGCTTACTCCAAGAATTCATAGTTGATTTATTATTTTAAAGTCAACAAACATAATACAACATATTAGCAAAATAAAGAGAAAACGCACATGGGTCTCCTCCATATCAGCATTTCCCGTAATCTTAATCGCTGTGTCCTCTCTAGCTTGACGATGTTATCTAATTTTTCAGTGATACCCTTGGTTATAGGTGGTGATTTGTTTGTGATAGCAGCTCATTCTCTAGGCCAGGTTACACTTGAACTCAAGGAACCCTCCTGTTATAGCTTCTTGAGTGCTATTATGGGTGCAAGCAACCACACTCACCTCCAGATTTATTTTTGCTTCTGAACATGTATGTCCACAGCTCAGCTCTTACTCATCTATTCCTTAGTAAGATGCCCTGAGGTCTGAAATCTAATTCTAAATACCACTTTCTCTGGAATGTGTTCCTCAACTTTTAAAAAAATTTTTTTTTTCTTTTTAATGTATGAGTGCTTGTCTCCAGGTACCCACAGAGATCAGAAGAAGGCATAGGGTTCCCTGGAGTTGCAGATGGCTATGCACTAGTGTGTGGGTTCTGAGAAACAAAGCTAGGTCCTCTACAAGGGCAACAAACACTCTTAAATATCGCTTCATCTCCTTCTCGCCAGTCTTAAATGGGACTAGTACTAGTACTTACCTCCTCCCCCAGATTACATGTTTTTATATCTGTTCCAGTTCTTATCACATTGCATTCAACTATTGATTGGTACCTCTGGTCCCATTGTTTCCTAGGGTTAGAGTAGGAAAGAAAAAAGAAAAGAAAAACTGGAATGGAATCTCTGGCCTGCATGGAGAGACTTAACCTTCCAGTCGGGCTGGTTCAATCACTTTGGTTAAGTGACCATCCCTAGGAAGGCAGGGTCACCTTAAGCCATGCTAAGGAGATGGACAGAATAATTCGTTCTTAAATGAGATACTGCACTTTTCCATCCTTCCCAAAATCCCAGGGTCTAATACAGTAACTGATAAACTGTACCCAGGGGGGGAGTGAATCTGCTCATTTTTCTGAATTATTCAGAAATTTTTACCTTTTCCTTTTCTTCTTTATCTCTTTTTCTAAGTGTAGTTTCCTTAACTCTCTGGGCTTCTCCACCACCCCAACATTTTGACCTTCCTACTCTTTCTTTGAAGCTTTTACTTTACCCATGTGGCTGCTTCTCTGCCATGTGTCTGCCCTGCAGCCAGCTTGCCTGGCATGGCTTTGCTTTCTCTCCTCCATCCTCCTCTGAACAGCTGCTGAGGTGTTACAGCTCACCTTCCTTAACGGCTTTCTTTTAAACTAACAAAATTGTCTTTGTGCTTCCATTTGAGTCAATTCTTAAATTCTTTTATTAATGAGATATCCAATTTCCCCTGTATCAATAACATTCAGCACAATCTCTTGTATATAGTACAAATTTTAGACAAATTTGTATTATATTGGCATTACAGTCTGATTGACATTTGTTATTTCCCAGTCAAGGTAATTTTTAAAAATGCCTTGGTGGGAGGCAGAGGCCAGCAGCTCTCTATGAGTTTCAAGCCAGCCTAGGCTATGTAGTGAACACCTGTCTCAACAGGGAATAGGGTGCCCTAATTGAAACTCACTTCTATCCATCACTAGAGGGTAGTGGCTATACAACTTACAGGTTCAAATTAGCTGCTAAAAATCAAAATAATTCTCTTATGTGACTTCCCAGGTATATGTGATTTAGCTAAGTTGTATAAAAGCACTTTTCTTGAAAATGATATCACTTCACCCACTTTACTTTAGATAAAATGCAAACATGAAAATGAGTCACAGTTTTATTTATTGACTTTTCCCAATCTTCTTTATTGACACACACAAAAAAGTTTGTTTGTTTTTTTAACAAGTTTATAACTCCTAACAATGTTACCAATGGTATTTATTAGGGTATAAAATTCCTAACTCTTGGGTCTGGAGTGGTGGCTCAGTGGTTAAGCACACTGGCTGCTCTTCCAGAGGACCCAGGTTCAATTCCCAAAACCCACATGGCAGCTCATACCTGTCTTTAATCCAGCTCAAAGTGATCTAACACCCTCATACAGACATAAATGCAGGCAAAACACCAATGCATATGAAGTAAAAATAAGTAAATCTTTTTTTTTTTTTCTTTTTAGAAAAAGAGAAAAGAGAATGTTGGGATGCCAGAGTGATCTAACGTGCCAGGATCAAGCTCAGCTCCCCTGTTTGGGGATTCTGATCTTCATATGGAGGCATGGGTCCGAATCCCACTTCAGAGGCAATGGTGGTTCACACCTTTAATCCCAGCATTCGCCACAGAGGCAGGTGGATCTCTGGGAGTTTGAGGGTAGCCTGGTCTATAGCGCCAGTTCCAGGGCAGTCAAGGCTACCAAAAAAAAAAAAAAAAAAAAAAAAAACCTGTCTCAAACAAAAAAGTAGAAAGAAAAAGAAAATCCCTAACTCTTGATGCTACTACACAGTGATAATAAAAATTATGAGATTTGAGTCACTGTTTGTATATATTTCTTAGCTCAAATGGCCCTGCATGGCATTAAGTATAAATTTTGTGTTTTACATGTAAGAGATTTGTATCCTGGTCATATCGATTCATTTGTCTAAACATAGTTGATGAAGCAGCCAGGATGAGAATCTCCTATCTCATCATTTTTGCAGTAACACTTTCACCACATCACACCAAAGATGCTAGTTACAAGATAACAAATGCAAGGTTTTTGTTTCATATAAGCCAAAAGTTATTTCTCAAAAAAAAAAAAAGTGTACGATTTGTAGGATTTGTCTCCTGGGTGATCCTCTCAAGTTGGCAATCCTGTTAACACAACACTCATAGACTTAACTACACACAGAGAACTTAGAAAAGGACCCACAGCTAGCATTTTACAACCCAGGGAATTGCACTTGAAAGGAGGAAGTGAGAAAGAAATTTAACTTCTCTTTAAGCATGTCTGCATTTGCTCTTTACAGTAGACATGTGCTAGATTTTTCATTCAAAAGAAGGGTACTTTTAGTAGAGAACAGGGCCTGAAAGATGGATGAGAGGATAAAGGCACTTGCCATGCAAGTCCAGCGACCTGAGCTCAATCCCTAGAACCTTCCATAAGGCAGCTGCACACAATAAAGCTAGGCTTGCTTCACAGCACAACAGAAACAAGACCCTGCCTCAAGAAGGGGAAAGGAGAACCAACTCTTGAAAGCTGTCTTTTGAGCTACACACACACACACACACACACACACACACACACACACTCACACACACACACACACACACACACACACACACACACACACACACACACACACACCACACACACACACACCAAGCACACACACCACACACCACACACACACACACACACACACACACACACACACACCCCTCATTCATGTACACTAAAATTAAACAATAAATAAATAAACAAATAAGTACATAGTAGAAAATATGGTGTCAGTTATAGCATAATTCCACAGTATCTTTTGTTTTGCTTTGTTCTGTTTGGGGGTTTTGACTTTTGTTTGTTTGTTTGCTTGCTTGCTTGTTTGTTCGAAACAGGGCTTCTCACTGTAGCTCTGGCTGTCCTGGAACTC